ACCACTGCGCCATGCTCTGGAGCAGGAGATCCTGAGCAGCGACGCAGTGGTTGATGTTCGCCTGGAGGAGGCGTAATGGAGCCATTATTGGGTATCCATCACGACCTCCTCTCTGACGGCAGCGGCGACAGCAGCAGTCGCAGGGGTGTTGGCGACTGCGGCGGCAGCGGGAGCGACGGTGGGAGCGGTGGAGGTGGCTACGGGCCTACCTTTGCTCCTGGGTTTGGTGGGGGGGGAGCAGGTTTTGCCCCCAACCCGGTGATCGGCCGGTTTGCCAGCCGCCGCACATACTACGCAGTGCGGCGGGGCGGTACAAGCGCCGGCCCTGTGACCGGGCTGACCGCAGCGGAAGCAGCGGTCGCTGCGGTCCACCTCTGAGGAGCATTTGGCACCCACATGGTGACCCACAAGGCATCGGTAGCACCTCAGAGGCCTGGGTTCCAGCAGCTTTACTTGCGCTGACACCCAGCCCACCAGGAGCCTTTTGCCCTCCGACAGTTTTTTGGCCGCTGTGACGGGGCAGCTGACTACCACAGTCCGCAGCCCCGTATTGTCCGGGCGGATGGTGCCTGCCTTCACCTGATCGGCAGGGCACCCCCCCGTCCTGGCGACAGCGGCCGCCACCTCGTTCTCCGTCACGGAGTCATCCAGGCCCATGATGCGTAGCTCCAAGCATTTGGTGGGCCTGGACACGCGAGCCTCATCCGCCGCAAGGCACGTCCTGAGCCTCTCGGCAAGGGCGTCAGCGGATGGGCCGCTGGCCGCGCCGGGGACCTCCAAAAGACGGGCTCCAGTCGCGGTGACCCTTACCGCGAACCCGTTAGGGGCCCCGAACTCCGCGGGAGTAACCGTCCCCTTCAATTTGGCGAGGACGTCGCCGTATGTCACCCCCTTCTTAGCCGCGTCCGGCTGTAGCGTGATAACTACAGCCGAAGATTTAGGGGTGAGGAGCATTGCCGCAGCGCGCTTCTCTTTGCGTCGCTGCTGCCGCCGCTGCCGCTGCTCCTTCTTGCGGCGCTTTCTCGCCTCTTTGGCGCTCCTTCTCGCCTGCCCGGCCACCTGCCACCCGTCGCCATCGGTGCACAGCTCTGATAGCGGGGTTGGGGCTGCAACGGCTGGAATTTCAGCTGCTGCGCCTCTTCGCTTGCGGCTATTTGGTGCCAGAGGCACAGCAGGAGCCGGTGCCGGTTGAGCTATAGGCGTCCTCGTCAGCGGCGGGGCTCTCGGTGCTTTCGCCGCAGGGGGCACTTTCGCCCTTTTCTCCACCGGGGCGTCTGCTCTGGCGCCGCGGCTAGGTGGCTGCTTCGTCTTCGCTGCCGCGGCTGCATAAGTGCCAGTTGCGAGCGGGGGTCGGAGGAGCCTACCCTCCAGAGCGTCGAAACGCTGCTGGAAGGCGGCCATCTCCTGCCGCATGAGGCCAAGAAGGTCGGCCTCCACTGGCTGCGAGGGTTGGGGACGACCCGCGCGAGCAGCGGCGAGTTCCGCCTTTGCTGCACGAAGTTCCGCCTCCAGGGCAGAGTTCGCAGCCGCTAATCGGGCCAGCTCGCGCCTCATTCCGGCCATCTCTTTTTGCAGAGCGGTCATCTGCCGCTCTGCTGAGCCCTTCTGGGATACCGCCGACATTATTGCGGCCTCCGCGTGCTTAAGCACTCCGTTTCTGCCAGCCTGGGTTTTTTGCCCAGCCAGCATGCGGAGTGCTTCCTTAACCTGGAGGCGGAGGCTCTCAGCGCCGCCTACAGAATCCTCACCTCCGGACACCTCCATCTCCGAGGAGTCCGAGGGGGCAGCCTTTCCCAGGGCGCTCCCCTCCGCTGCCAGCCGCTCTGCCGGCTCAGAGCGGCTCCCAGCCGCCCTCGTGGAGCCCTTCCCCTTGCCCCTACCCCGCGCCGCCGTGGGGATTTTGGGGGCCGGAGCCTCCTGTTCATTGGAGGAGGGCCCTCGCCCGTCCTCCAGCCTGGGGCGTTTGAATGTCCCTCGGGCCTTTTTCTGGCGCAGCGCTATGCTTGTGCCAGACTGCGATGTTGAGTCGGACTCAGAGTCCGACTCCTTCCTGCTTGAGGCACGTGCACATGATGCATCTAGCACCTCGTTCATATTTGCAAGCGAGCTGACCTCGCTTGCGTTCTCCTCACCGTTAGGTGGTTTTTTATTATTTTTCTTTATAGGCATCTCCATTGAAGTCCCACGAGTATGGGGGAAATAAGAGGTCCGCCCAGGGAGAGCCCCCTGTCCCTGGGTAAGTGTGCATTTGTCTCCCAACTAGGGGGTCCACCGGTCCCCAAGCTGGGGGTGCGCTCACGACTGATCCTACTCCTCAGCCATACATACCCTCGCCGCGCACCAGAACTTAGTATTGGAGGAATTTTTTATAGAGGTTATCTTCCTCGCGGTCCGGGCGGTTAAGCCAAGACCCTCGTCCCGGTCCGAGTCATAAAACATGACCATGATCTCTTCCCGGATTACGATATCGACGGGTGCAGTCGGGCGCAGCTAGTGCCCCGATGCTACTCATTGGCAGGGTGAGTGCACAACGAGCGCCGCCCTTGTTTCTCCACCCCGCTCTCTGCTAGGTCCAGAGAGTCGTGCGGAGGAACGCCCCCACGGAGGCGTGGACCCTATGCCAGCATAGGGCCGGTCGCCTCTAGAACCCGACCGGGTTCTCCGCCCGGCCAGAAGTTCGCTGCGGGCGACAGTCAGTCCAACCCTGTCGCCATCCCGTTAGGGAGACTGTCGCCCGCACCCAGGGTGCACCACGGGGAGGTCTTCTGGCATGCACCCCTTCTGGCATGCACCCCGGAGATTGAGGGTGGGAAAGGATTGAAGGCCTCCGGTACCTCACTAGCACAACGCTTTAGGTATTTTAAGTTTTTTGTGGGGCGTGGTATCACTCCGGTAGAATCAACTCATTCGTGCCGAAGCACGAATCTCCCTCATTTGCTAGTAAAAATACCAGTTACTTATAACTAGTTCACAGACAGTCAGTTTTATTCACTAGTATTTGATACTACTAGGCTTAATTTTTGAAATAATTTTTTATTTTCATCAGGGGACGATAGGTTATCGAGCCTGACTATTCTTTAAATTGATTTTTCGAAAAGGAAAAACTATATAAAAAAAATTCGTTGGTTCTTTTTGTGAGGGGAAAATCATCAAATGACTCCTCCCGCTCAGGGTGAGGCGAGATGGAGTGTCAGACTCTTGTTGAGCCCCGTCTGTGGTAGTCTATTGGCTCTTTGAGGCGAGCGCGAAACGCTACGCTCCGAACGCTCGGGAAAAATGAGTTCGTTGTATTTTCTGCAAATATTTTCATTATGTACTGAATTGGCCTGCTGCAGAAATGTCTTGAAATAAAAATAATAAATAACTTTTATTATCTTTTCGCAATACCTACAGCCTTTACAAATATCTACACAACTAAACCTCCATATTAACATACATATAACTACATATAAATAGGTATCATTAAATTAATATGAATTATTTTTGACAAAAAATTATTACGCGAATATTCTAGAATATTTGCTACAACTTTGCCACACTTATTTAATAATTAAATATCTAAATTTAAATAGCTATCAATTTATTTTTCAGAAATATAATTATTAATAAGTGGCGGTTACATAATAAATGGGTTTAAATAAAGCTATGTAGGTATATACCTACTTGTACATATTTTTTGTAATTAATCACATTTGATTTTTCCGACAACCCAAAGCTTCAGTAAAAAATGTATGATTAGCATAAAATGAGGTCACGATATTCATAATACCAATTTATTAATCAAAATAAGCGGTTCAAAATTTATAACCGGTGTTCGTTAAAGTCAAATCAAAACAAAATATACATACTTACATATGTAATTTATTAAACGGAAATCTTGAATTTTATATAGGTAATAAATTATTATTTATTCGTCGCGTCGCGTCCAGGAACTTAAGGTAGTAGGTAAGGTTTTTATGTTATTCAATGACTAGCTAACGTTTTTGTAGTGATTTTATGCTTGCGCTTTGTTTCTTACATTATTAGTCGTGGTACTCGTAGCCCGAGAAGCGAGCTTCAGGGCCCGAAGGTTAACCAGGAGGGTTCGAAACCTGGTAAATACCAATGCGACCATTTCTGAGTTACATGTACTTTCTCAGATTATTAAAACACCCCTGACATATGGTGAACCTGGACTTAAAATATCTTACTATAAGTATGAAATCGCCAATCCACCATTAACAAGCGTGGTGATTAATGATCAAACTTTGTACGTGTCAGAAGTAATTTCTATTCAATATATCTTAGTTTTCAGCCTTGTGTTCATATAGTATTAGTACATAGAGAGAAAATAAGTAAATGTATCCTGGCGACCTCTAGTATCCTGCGACAATAAAAATACGTACAGTACGGCCGACATATCTTGGCGAGTCTGAAGTTATCCATTAGGAACAAAATTGTGTACTGCGCAGCTAATCGGCTAACTTCAGACTCGCCAAGATACGTTATCGGTATTGTATATTGCGCGATTCTTTTCATGCGAGCTCATATTCGGTGGGGCCAACGGGGGTTTCAGACTCCCTCTGACCAAAATCCACCTCACGTTTTTCTTCTTGCTCTGCGCTTGGGGCCGTGATACATAATTGCACTCACACCCGCCACACTTCACAACCCCTACTATTTCCTCTAAGAGGAAAAATAAAAGGATTAAAATCATGTGATAAATGTAACAATGAATTTAATAATTTTTGATCCATCTAGGATAAAAATAGGAGTGGATAACTAAATAAATGTTTAATTCATGTGTATTGGCAATAACATAGATGAAAAAGTGGTTGGTAATATGATAAAATCGGATAGGAGAGAATAGAAAAAAAATGTTAAAAAAAATAACATTTTGGGTGGACCCTAAGTAATTTGGATAGCTTTAGTTGCTAGAAAAGAAGGAAGGAAAGATGATTATAAATAGAAAGAAGATGATGAATGATCCAACGTTTTTTATATTATATTTTTGTTTACAGTGAGCGAATACAACAAAATGCCGGCTCTGTACGGGCTGGACAACTACGAGGCGTGTGTAGCGGAGCCAGGGTGGACCTACTGTATGGTAGACGTTAATTTACACAAAGGAAACAATGCTGCACTGATGAAGATGATACAGGTATTTAGTAACTTGTAGATACTTGTATTTAAAACCGAAGAGTTTGTTTGTTTGATCACGCTGATCTCTGGAACTACTGGTTATAATTTGATAAAGGAGGCCCTAGAACAATTCCATATTTTAGGATAGAATTCCGTCCGCAATCAATCTGATCTCGTTTGTTTGCCGACCTTACATAAAAAAGGTCACACCAATCCATAAATGTAAAACTTTTTATCTAAGTGAATACAGATAATATTATGAATTTACTTTTAAATATAGGTAACTAATAACTACCTAGACAAACACGTTTATCAGTAAAAAAAAAAACTAAAATTATGTAACATTAAATAAGTTTTGTTTTTATTGCCACAAGAAATACAGTTGCTGTCAGTATAGACGGAAGCAAAATTGTTTATTTAATTGTTCTTTTGTTCGTCCTTTAAGTATCTAGGATTCAATGTATAATATTATATACCTACATTCAGTATTTGTTGTTCTTTGAATACTGTCCCACATAAGTATTTCCTCCTGTATCGTAGGTAATGTTTACGTACGTACCAACGCAACACACCCAAATACGAAAAAAAAATTGTGGATCACACAATGAGTTGATCCATTTTTTATATGTAGTAAGTCGGCAAACGAGCAGACGGATTACCTGATGGTAAGCAATCAGCGCCGCCCATGGACACCCGCAACGGAGGAGTTACGAGTGCGTTGCCGACCTTTTAGGGATTAGTGATTTGGAGATTAAGGGAATTGGGGAAGAGTCCGGAAAGGGGAAGGATTGGGCTCCATCCATCAACCATACGATATATTGCGCAGTATCCGGAGCCCAGCCTCGGCACCAACAGAGCAACCACATTTTGTCTTTATGTGATAGGACGACAATGGAGCAGACGGATTACCTGATGGTAAGCAATCAGCGCCGCCCATGGACGGTCTCAATAACAGAGGAGCTGCGAGTGCATTGCTGACGTTTTGGGGAATAGGGGTTGGTGAGGGAGGTATTACTACGGTCGAGCCGATCCATTCGTGCCGAAACATGGCTCTCCCACAGTTATGATGATGACAATAGTCATTAAAGTCATTTACTTCTAAACTATGAAACATTATTCTTAATTATGTTTATTAACTTAGAAAACATCATATAAAATTTAATTAAAAGATTAATTGAATCAAGTTATTTTAATATAAGTGACACTGTAACGGAGGTGTACTTTTATAATTGTTTCTTGTTAGATATAATTGTATGTTTACTAGCTGTTTTCCCGATGATTAATGGGAAAACCGGTAGCGCTTTCTGCGAAGGTTCATAGCAATTATGGCACGTGTAGGTAGTTGTCAGACATACGGCGTATATGTTTACATAAGTTTGTTTTCAAGTATGGGAGAGTCAAGATTCGGCATAAATTGGTCGGCAAACCGGAGCGATACCACGGCCTAGCAAAAAACTGGCGTGAAACAACCACAGCGTTTTGTTTCGCCGTGTGAGTCAGGTCACGGGGGCTACATCCCTCCCCCTTCCTTAAATATCCGAAACCCTATCCTTAAAAAGCCGGCAATGCACTCCTAACGGTTGCGGGTGTCCATGGGCGGCGCCGATTGCTTACCATCAGGTAATACGTCTGCTCATTTGCCGTCCTATAGTGTCACATTAAAATAGTAATCAGAAAATCGCTTTTATCGCAAAAATAATCAAAAGGTCGCTTTTTATTTGGCAGATATTTTTATTATCCTGTGGTCATGACGTCGGATTCTATACCCGTTGTATCCTTGTAGGTTTTTTACTTACATAGGTACTGGTCATAAATAGATTTCACATGTATATCAATAAATCAATCTATCCAAAAAAAAACGCTGACTTTAATATTCGTCCAAAGTTCTTATTTTGTTTTTAATGTCATTTATACGATACGATACGACAGATGACCTGGTGGTACGCAAACAGCGCTGCCCATGGACTCTCGTAGTACCAAAGGAGTTACTACAAGTGCGTTGCTGGCCTCTTGTCGGTTATTGGGAGGATAGGGGATTTGACGATTGAGGATGAGGAAGGGGGAGACTTCGTTCAGTTTCCGTGTTTGTAATCTGACTTGACTCTTGACTGCACGGTTGGCGCGGTGGCTGGGCAACTGGCTGTCGCGCAACGTGTCGCAGGTTCGAATCCCGCACGGAACAACTCTTTGTGTGAACCACAGATTGTTGTTCCGAGTTTGGGTGTTATGTGCATGTGAAATTGTATGTTTGTAAACGCACCCACGACACAGGAGAAAATCCTAGTGTTGATCACTATTTACTTATTACGACTTAACTGTTTCTCTACTACTCGTCTCCTAAAGGGTGTAACTGTTTTATGACCTTCCCCAAAATGGTCTATCCAGACTCAAATATTTTTTCAATTCGAAGCAATAGCTTAAGTACAGTCAACGAAACAAACAAACTGTTAACCTTATAATATAGATCACAATGGTAACTGAGTACTTGTATTGACAGACAGTAATTAAATTCTTGTTTTATGGGGTAATAAACAACATTCTTACATAGACATAAACTATTAAGCGATTCAAGAATGCTTTAATACGCCTAGCAGAACTTCCCGGCTAGTAAATGGCACTAACGGATAAGTACCTGCCAGAGCTAAAAAAAAGTACATGTTAGGTGCCACAGTTTTATAGTAAGCTGTGTACCAGAGTTTGACTACCTATTACTTTGCCCGTTTAAAATAGTTTAGTAGCGAAACGGGTTGACAGATATCAAATGGCTGAGATTCTTGTTGTATTACTTATGTTTTTAACTTAATATCTAGACTAATAACACGGAATAAAGGTCTTGTCAATCTCGGCTTATGGGGAATGACAAAAAGTATGACGGGGCAAATTTGATTGGTCATTCAATATAGTTTTTATAAGTGCACAGTATACACACATGTTCAAAATAAAGTAGATGTATATTTATATCTTTCGAAATTATGAATATTTTATAAAGTGATCTATGTAAAAATAACAATACTATTCTATTTTTTTTCAGGAATATTCTGACCACAGTTTGAAACACTTCAATCATACGCAAATACACAGAGGAGTGTGTGTCACACATACTTGTAGAGATTTTACAAAAGTTCCTCAAGTTAATAAAACATTGGGCCTAAGTCAAGTCCTTGAGGCATGCCTCAATAATTCCTTATATTCTCAGTATGGACTTGAAGGTAGACTAGCTAATATACTCTATTGTAAGGAGGAAGGTGATAAAGTGATAATAGATAATAGTGATATTGCCATGGCTGTGGTTTATGTAGTTTTAATTTTGCTCAACGTTATCGGAAGCTTGTACGATGTCTGTGCGTGCAGTAACGACGATAAAACAGGTTGGTAATTGGCTACATAAATATTTCAACAAATTGCTCAGGTATACGTAATGATATAAACGTTTTCTTTTAGGGAATCCATATATTTTGGCGTTTTCAATACGTAGGAATTGGCGGAAACTGACAGCACCAAGCAATTCTGCGCGAGAACCTCGACTGGACAGACTGAAAATGTTTAATGGTCTGAGGTAAATAAAAATAAAATAGAAAATTGTTATGTATTAATCAGATACATACATACGATTATGACTTTAAATTCCCCAAGAGATATAAATACTTGTGCCCAATTTCACGTCATTATTGCTAATTATGTGTATTAATTTGATATATTTGTATTTACTTTAAGAATATATTGTTTTTTTGCAGGACCATGACAATGATTTGTGTGCTTTTCTCGCATACGACGCTTATTATGTCGTATTCATACATAAATAATCCACTTTACATTGAGACGGTAAGTTTTTTACTATTACATCCCTATTAAATTGTTTCAACTATTTTACTTCTGTAGAGTAGAAACTTACAATATTGTGACTACAGGAAGCCAAGCAAAACCGTGACAATAAAGTCACTTTTATTTAACTTGTAAATATTTTGATGTTACAAGACATAACAGGGTTAAGGGATGAAATGTCTGGGGTTGCGGGTCAATCACCACAATGTACTGGGGGGCCTGGAGTAGGCGAAGGAATGGGGTGGTTTTTAGCCAGTAAGAGTCTAACACTCACTCTCATCCCGCTCAGAGCGGGAAAAGTCATTTGATGATTTTCAGTCGGAGCGATGAAATGTAACAGTTTTCTGGGGGCTAACCACGACGTTTAAAGTAAGATGTTTTAATCTTACTTCAGTGTGGGTAAGAGACAGAGCTAGACAACTTGTATAGCTCTGTCTCTCTGTTTCTGTCTATGTCTTTCTCTCTGTCTCTGTCTTACTCACACTGAAGTAAGATTAAAACAGCCTAACTTTGAATGTCATGGTTACGTCCCTGTTGTCGTACACAACAATAGAATATGGAAAAGCATAATAAAATACATGTAACTTACTAACTAGGGGATCGGATCTTTTTATTAGCAGTAGCGCTTTGAACCCCTCCATCAATGAACCATGAAAAAATAAAGAAACGGAAAATTGACGGATTCTTTATTACCATTCAATAAATACGGTACTAAAGTACGAATAGACACGTAACCAAGATAATTAGGAGAGCAAAATAACTAATTGTAGTGTACGTGCGTAAATGTAGGTTCTTAACCCGTAATTATATGCATTCATATTATTATTGCAATATAGCCTTGCTCCCTACAAACTTTGCTCCCCAATCATATTCTTATTGTTTTCATTGTAATGGAAAAAATAAGACCATTTTCTATAATTATCTATTCCAACACGACATATTAATTCTTTCTGGAAAAAAGGTAGAACCATGTTAAAAAAATTCGAAGTAACTTTCAAAATATAAGTCAAGAATAAGCCACTACAAAAACAATTAAAGAGATCGGAAATCTGTATTTTGAAATTTTTCTTTAGATCAACAACAACTATAGTTAACGACAAAGGTACTCCTTTAGAGCTTTATAATTCTAAAACAATGACTGGCTGACCATTCCTAATATGAAACGGTTTTATTTTTCCGAGCCCCAGTGTACTCAAACCTGTGTGTGGTCTAACAACTTCTTTCACAAGAACACCTATATACAATTTGGTTTCTTCTTCTCAATTATCTTCAAATTTAATTCATTGTCTTCGGTAAATTACCTGCAATTTATTATTTACACTTTGTTCTAGTCCTACGAGGATCCTTTGAAACAGATCTTATTCAACGGTAGCTTGGTGACTCACACCTTCTTCGTGATGTCCAGCTTCCTCCTCGCCTACAACCTCCAGCTCTACACAGAAAAACACAAACCCAGTTGGATACAATTGCCGAAAGGAATCCTTTTGAGATGGTTACGGTGAGCTAATTTTACTCTTTATTTCCAGCATTTTCTTCTTCTAGTATGTAGACTTTTTCCTCGAGTATTCTTTCTTTAGAAGATCTTTAGATTTTTTTTAAAAGACAAAGCAGTTTGATTTCTTGTGTATGTGTTAACGGAAATGTATGTAATCCGTCATTGTATACAATTCCTAGGAAATTTATATAATTCCTAAATTTGCTCGGAAATGTGTGAAATAAATTTTATAACACACTTTTCCTAGTAAATCTATACATTTCCTAAATAGCTAACGGATATGTATTACTTTAAAGATGTCCATTCGTATGCGTTTATACGGCGTATTACTGTTCAATTGACAGACTGATTAGTTACCAAATGATAGAGCTTTATAAGAAAATATAAGTAGTTTTTGTGCTAGATGGGCCTTAAAATTTAGTAAATAGTTTTATTTTTGTAGCTTAGTTAGTAAGCCGGAAGAAGATATTATATTTTACGATGTGATTGTTACCTAATTGTTTCTGTCAGTCGTGGTGGCCCGGAGGTTAAGGCGCCCGCTTCTCATGCATGAGAGTGCGGGTTCGAAACCTGGCAAGTACCAATGTGACTTTTTCCGAGTTATATGTACTTTCTATGATTATTTAGACACCACTGACATACGGTGAAGGTAAACATCGTGAGGAAACCTGGACTTATAATTTCTAATTATAAGTTTTTAAATCGCCAACCCGCATTGAGCAAGCGTGGTGATTAATGCTCTAACCTTCTCCGTATGAGAAGAGGCCTTTGCTCAGCAGTGGGCACTTATAGGCTGATGATGATGATGATGAATTGTTTCAACCGGAGTCTTAATAATAAATCTGTTTCTAAGTTTAACAACGTGTTTTATTAATTTTATTCATAGAAAGCATGGTTTTATACATTTCCTAATACGATATAGGAATTTTATACAATTTCTAGGAAATGTATACATTTCCCAGGATATGTGTCTATTAAATAATGTTTGGAACAATATTTTACACATTTCCTATATAGCTTCGGAATTGTATACATTTCCTAGTAATTGTATATAATTCCTAGGTTTCATACATTTCCGGTAACATATGTACTTTCAACAAGGATTACTGCTTCCGATTTAGATGTCACGGAAATATTTTTTTGAATATTTACTATCCTAACAAATATGTAGTTTTCTCGAAACTACTAGTGCAATATCAATTCCGCTTAGGAACAAAATTAGTCGACTGCAGGTTTGGAGCGGTGGCTGGGCTAGCTGTCGTGCAACGTGTCACGGGTTCGATTCCTGCACGGAACATCTCTATGTGTGAGGTGTATGTGAAAGTGTATGTTTGTACACACCCACGATTCATAAGAAAATCGAAGTGTTGAGCAACACTTTTAACAAAAAAAACAAATTTTGTTTTCCTTAATTACAGCTTGACTCCCACGTACGCTCTGATAATGTTCACGATATCGACGTGGATGCGACATGCCTACCAAGGTCCTTTGTGGGGCCTGGTGGTGTCGAGCGAGGCGGATGCGTGTCGCCAGTACTGGTGGGCACAGCTGCTGTACATCAATAATTACGTTTACGACGATGCTTTTTGTTTGCCTCAGACATGGTAAGATTGAATTATAAAATACTTTTTTTTTCTTTTCATATCAACGACATTACCTATCCAATGTATTATATCATGAACCTTCTTTAAGCCTACATATTTGAGTTCAACCGTACACCTCTCCGGGTAAAAAACGAGTTCAAAATAAAAATAAAAGTAACAGAAGTCAATTTCGGGGAATGTGGATCAGCACTCCGCATGACAATAGACTGCAACTTTGACACATAACCTCACCGCTGATTATCGGAGTTTTCGTTTTGATAAAATGAAACGCCTCTGTATTCTTTTTTTTTTGTATATTTTTTTCATAATCCGCAGGTACCTAGCAGCAGACACACAACTATTCTGCCTAGGCTTGCTCCTGTGTGTGGTAGCTCGCAAGTGTAAAACGCGAGCCATTCTGCTGTCCGTGTGGTTCGTGATAGCTTTAGCGATAGTGGCTGGTTCCACATACTTCCTGGACTTGGATCCTGTAGTCATGCAGGCACCAGAGTAAGTGATACTTCTGATGAAGTCAAGTTTTAAGAATGATGTAGAGAAATAACTAAATAAGTAATAAGTTATGATGCCAAGTGTAGGGGAGCCAATTTTCGGCACGAATGAGTCGGCGAACGGAGTGATAGTACTATACTTTATCGTTTGCTGTCTTATCACATTAATTTTCAATAATACAATTTTAATTGCTCATATTTTGTCATTTAGCACTATGCATCTTGTATCAGTACCATACATACAAGATGCTGTTTCAAACGCTCTTGGCGACTGTTGTTTCTTCCTTTTGTCCAACAGTGGACAGAAACAAATTCAATATGGTGATGCTTCATAATAATTATCATTATTTGACTCCAATACTGTAAATATGCTACTTCAGTAGACCACCACTAAGCTGAAATTTTAGGTCATCAATCATCTAAATATAATTATTTTTTTAACATCATCAGATCATACCGCAACTTATACGCGAAGGATGACACATTCCGTCTATTGTACGTCCGCGGTCACACAAACATGTCTACCTACATCCTGGGCCTGGCGGGAGGGTTCCTCGCCTACCATTGGCAGAACGGGAAGGACTTGGAAAAGTATAAGGTAGTACTGAGTTTGGTGATATCCAAATACCTAGGACTAGCTAGGTAGTTTACCCTAATTGTTTATATCTGAGATGCTTACAAAGCGTACAGATTATGGTAAACTATAAAATCCAGCAATGGACTCACACGCGTTGTTGCGCAAGAATGTACTACGGCTCCGGCCCACAGTCGGAGAAGGAACGGGTGGTTTTTGGAACTAGATTTTAAACAGTACATGTCTGATACTCGGAGCGACAGCCAGATCTTGCAGTTTTGGTTCATCATCAGCCTATAAGTGCCCTCTGCTGAGCAAAGGCCTCTTCTTGCAAGGATAATGTTTGAGCATTAATCATTACGCTAGCTCATGGCAGATTGGCAATCCAAACTTATATAATAGGAATTATAAATTCAAGATGTTTTCCTTCACTGAATGTCAGTTGTGTGTACATAAACTTAAGAAATTACATATACCTTGGAAAAAAGTTTTTACCAGGTTTCGAACCCCCAAGTGGATGACCTCTTGCATGAGAAGAGGGCATCTTAATCGGTCTACTCCGATATTAGCAAATTTGGTTAAAATCTGTTAGTAAAATATGTTTTACCTACTTTGCAGAAATACCGTTTCCTTGTGTGGCTGCTCTTCCCGCTGGGTCTGGCAGTGATCCTCTCTGGAGGTCTGTTCTACTCTGACGGCGGCGAGACCCCGGTCCTCCTCAGAGTGATGTACGCCACCCTCTACAAGCCTTTGTTCCAGTTACTAATAGTACTGCTAATACTTGCCTGCATCTTCAAATTTGAATGTAAGTAAATTATTTTTGAATTGTTTCTCTATTTCGATATTCCAGTACGAGAAATACACTAGTCTATTTCTACAAATAACGTTATAATTTGCTCTATCCACTAGTGATTTCTTATAATATTTTGTCGGTAACACCTTAAGTGTGGGAGTCAAGCTAAGCCACGAAACGTGTTGGCTCGACCGGAGTGATACAAAGGCCTTACAGGAAACTCGCGTAAAACAACCACAGCGAAGTGTTTCGCCGTGAATATAAGGTTACCGGAGGAGCAACCCTTTCCCTCCCTATTCATCTTTAATGCATAAATCTCCAGAAACCCTAATGTCCAAAAGGACAGAAACGCACTCGTTCGCAATAGGAATCCTCGCGGGTTGTGGGAATTCATGAGCGGCCCCGATTACTTACCATCAGAAAACCTGTAAAAAATATTGAGTACTTCTAGTTGCAACTAGAAATGCTCATATTTTTTTATTACGAGTCAAAAAGATCAAAAACCAAGGATCAAGAAGCAAACATTTTTTTGCGTCTCTTACGCGAAAAAGCATTATTTTTATTATGCCCCGACCCAAAAACTGTATGTATGATGAGTCTGTCTGTGGCATTGTAGCTCTCAAACGGATGATCCGATTTTAATGCGTTTTTTTTTTCTTGAAACGTATATCAGTTGAAAATGTGTCAGTAATGCAAGTTAATAGCTATGGTTTATGCTTAGTTGAAATCGGATCAAACGTTCAAGGTAGGTTGGTTGTTTATTAAGTGTGATAGGAATGGCACACACTCAGTTTACTTGCCAGTTTTTTACTTATTATAGGATATAGCATTTTTAACCTTTTCCCATAATAATAATTGAGTACTCTTTCTGGGTTTTTAAAATTTTTCATTTGCTTTTTATATTAGCAACGTACCGTGGTATCTTGGAGTGGCGTGGCTGGACGTGGACGGGTCGCATCACGTACTGCGCCTTCCTCTTGCACACGTTGTTCCAAAGAGGGTACATCGGCGCACAACTACAACTCGTACACATGTCCGACTATAGCGTGGTGAGTATTCTCTACTGCTGCACTCTGTTCCTGATCCTCAAACCTCTAAGCTCCTAAAAGTATTCTACTTGCAACTTCTCTAGTATTATCTCTGTCCATAAGATGATGTATCCGTTTATTTGCTGCCCTATCACGTAAAATAATTTTAAACCGGCACAGTTCCCAATCCCAAACACTACAAAAAAATGTTCAGGTTTATAAGGAAAATTAAACCTTTAAATAAGATTTTGCAGAAAACTCTTGTTTTGGTAATATTGTAAATTATATGAAGTTATTGATCAGGAGCTCCAGACTAGTCCGTAGCTCTCCATTTCACCATATAGTGGTGGAAATCAATAAATAATATGAAAAGGTCAAAAGAGTGTCAATGAGCTCGATTCAAGCAAAAATCACAACAATCAAGAAAGAGACTATATAAGAATCCATAATAGTCTTTCAATATTTTGTGCGTTTCAATATTCCTCTAATTATTTTTGAATTGTAACTATCGTGAGACATACTAAACTTATTCAAAATAACGACAAGTCTAATTGGCTGCGCGACATCGACGCAACTCGCGCTTTGCTCTTAGATAAGAGTCCCGTTATGACTTGAAACCAGTCGAGCTTTTCACGTATGTCGCTATTTTTAATAAATTCAACTGATGATTTTTATGCTAATTGCTATATTATTATATTCTTACAGATGATATTTTTAGCGGCTAGTATCTTCCTGACGTACATGTGTGCGTGTGGCCTCTGGTTGTGTGTGGAGGCTCCTATAGCCGGTATCATTAAGGCCGCACTAGCGCCATCTCGGGACAACGACACGGAAAAAAAGGACACCACTCAAGTGTAAATAAAAGAATTGAAAACTCAATACTTTGTTTTATTACCCAACACTACAAATCTAAGGTTTTCTTCCTTAAATAAATAAAGGAAATGATAACGGACCTTATGTACAAAATTTTCCTACGCCATAAACCAAATTCTAAAAACATACAATTGTCTACTTACATAATGGGAATTATTTAGTTAACGAGTCAAAGTACGAATACAAAAACTTTCCTGTGTGGCAGTGTCAAACCCAACCAAGATATTTTATTTAAAGTCTAATTAAAGTCTAACATCACAATTTGTTACACAGTCCAAACCGAAACGCTGGCACTAGAATATTCTACAGATCTTCGAAACATTTCTCAAACTCGTGAACTTTCGTACTTCCGATCGTCGCTGAGAATTTCGCGTAAAGTCTTCAAAGGGACAATTTTCTCAATGGCAAGTATTTCACTGTCACTTAGCATTTTCTTAGGATTTTCTTCTTTAACATTTTCTTTATTGTCACCATCCTTGTTTCGCGAGCCAGATATTAACAGCTTGATCATATTGCTTAGCGGTGCTTCCACTATCAAGTAGAATGGAAGCGCAGTCAGGAATGAAGCCAGCACGAACCCAACTATCATTTGTTGCTGTTGAAAAACAAATTGATTACTCAACTAATTAGTAATTATCTACAAAAACGTGGCTAAGGGTCGAAAAAATCATTAGCTGATGATTATGAAGAAGATAGTACTGGTTTTATTATGGAGCATGCCAGCCACAACATCTCAAAAACCGCTGCAACTTCTGTAAACCAAGATCTACAGGGCATACAAACATGAAAACACCGAAACACTGAAATCCGGCGCGTCCCAGGGATATTAATAAATGTTTTGGATCCCCAGTTTTTCCCCCTTGTATTTCTAGTGTGGTTGTGGTGGGCGACGCAACGTATACCATTAAAAAAGTCATAAAATATCATAAAGTAGGGTCATACCATTAAGACGAAGGTTGTGTGCCAAATAGTAGTCTGGTAGGATACAAAGTGCCTGATGAAGGCGACGTGGATCAGGTATGCGCTGTAAGAGATGCGGCTTGGCACCGTCCAGCCCTGCCACTCCACTATACGACGACATATATCTGTAGCAGATTGTTAAGAAGAAAATAAGAAAATGTGCAGAAATCTTCAGAACTAGTAGAAGTAGTATCAACTAAATTATCTTTACAGCTTATTTACGTAACTCAATCAGTTTCAAGCCACGCCAGGAACTCATAGTGATAACCAATACGACCTATAACCCTGTAACCAATACGTGAATAAGCCGTAAAGCATATCAAAGTAGAATCGTAGATTATTCTAAGTACAGCATTTTGAAACAAACTTTTAAAGGATAATATAGAAATACTGATTTCAAAAAAGATATTCCATCAGAATGTACCTAACCTACCTAATATCTTTTATTTTTTAAGTCATTGACCCAGACTAACATTTGCTCTTGTGTCGTGGGTTCGTTTACAAATATACATATTTATACATTCATCGCTCTCAGCCCCGGAACATTAATTTGGGGATCTCTCAATCTAAAAAATATGATTTTACAAATTACTTACCATCGATTTTAAAGATGAATATGACTAACGCCAATGCAATTATTAAGCCAAAGACCGGCTTGTGAAGACTGGAAAAGGCAACTCTCAAATATATAGAGTGCCTAGGAACGTCCTCGAAGAAGATACTGCCTGCATACACCACAGAAGTTCCAACCACTACGAGCACAAGAACCAAATAACGATATTTCTGAAAAAATAATTAAGTAAAGTTTTAGTATCACAAATTTAATTTCAACTCGAGTAGAAGATCCGAAAAAGGAATGCGCTGAATGGATGGTCAACAAAATGGAGAACATTTTGTTGACCTGCTGGCGTTTGAAGGATTAAGTAAGCTCAACTAGTAGAAATTTTTAGTAACATCTTAGAAAACACATTAACTCGTAGCAACACACACACATTAGCGAAGTAAGAAATCTTAGACTTAATTGCAAGATTGGGTCCGGTTTTACGAAAATACCCAATGATAGCATGGAGTCTGAAATTGTACCCGATGTAACTATAACGAGACTTATAAAATAACTAGCGTTAGGAAGGTAAAACTGAATATTTCAAGAAGCAGGGAATCTAAGCATGCCACGTTATTTTTATCATTAAACATAAAAGAAGTTATACATCAAATAGAAATAGTTGCCTACCCTAAACCTGGTCATGTCAACGCCATTCTTTTGCCAGCGATAGACGAGGTAGCCGACGGAGAGGCCGATGGTGTAGCCAGCAAGGTTGGTGTGGCCTCTCCTGTATGTGTAGTTGAATGTAGGCTCATTCAAAAAGAGACTGTGGATCGCCCTGCAAAAATAGATTAATATGGTTTAGGATTTTTACAATAATTAATGCTGTGTTTTCATGAAGACATTTGTTTTTGTCTATTTTATAATCTGTACTTTCACTAAACAATTTTCTTAATCTACACAGTAACAAAAAAAAGAAGTGATATAAAAAAAATTTCGTTACTCATTTGTTTCTGTTTTTCATCATTGTATTATGAAAGTTGTACTGACTGACTGTTCAAAGTGAATATTCATTACTTTGAAATATTAATCTAATCTTTAGGTGTATAATTATCTTTTAAATCTGTCGAAAATAAAACACAAATTATTTTGCAACTTACTCCGGAGAAGCGATTAGAGTTCCATCCAAGTTGAGCATGTAAGTGATGACCCCGGGAATGATAAGACCGGCCACGAACAGGAGTGGCAGCACTATCTTTCTGGACCGAGGAGTGGAGCACAACACATAGACGAGAGCACCCACACAATACAGTTGGGTGTCAGTTGCTATGTACCTGCGATTGTTTTACAATTACAATTAGTAAAGCGATGTATAAGGACGAAAACGATGATGATAAAGATAATGTTAGTCCGAATAAGAAAACATTTATTAATAAATTTTTGAAGCATCTACAAGAACATCGTCGTGACAAAAATACATTTTTACCAAAGCGTATCCAAGTTTCTGCACGTCGATTCTATAAAATTTGTTTGATTTTGAATCGTGTTTGAGTGCGAAGTGAGCGTCCAAGTGACGGGAAAATTAAATTTTAGAATGCCACTTTTAACGTCATCTCATACTTTATCTATCAAAATGTTGCTGTCAATTTTAGTTCAACTCGCAAGTGTAGCGCTAGTGTACTACTACTCACAGCGGATTCAGATTCGAAGTTTAGAATGTAGTCTTACAGAATCACAATGCTGTTTAGAAAAAAAAACAGAACATGCAAAAAATATTCCTTTATTTCTCTTGTAACTTGTAACTTGCTCTGTTCTGAAAGAATTTTGATCAGCAATGGAGTTATAGTACTTATAGTCTGACGTTAGCTCTACTGACCAGGTATGTTGCATGCACTGCGAGTCGTCGAAGTAGTTGTTGATGTACAGCAGGTTGGTCCACCAATACTTCTTGCAGTCTCTCACTTCATTGCCTATCACCTCCTGCAATAGAGACGTTTGTAATTGATTAACCTCTCACATAAAATCCAAACAACTTATATTAAAATTCTACCTTAATTCAAATGTTATGAAATTGGGTTGAAGACATGGGTGGGTCAACAAAAGCATTTTTTTTATGTAATAGGTCGGCGAATGAACTGTCGGATTACCTGACTGTAAGAAATCAGCTCCGTCTATGGACACGCGCAACAATGGAGGAGTTACCAATGCGTTGCCGACCTTTTGAAGATTAGGGATTTGGAGATTTTTGGATTGGGGGAGGGGAAGGATTCGGGCTCCTGTAACTTCACTCACTCGGCGAAACACAATGTTTGTGTGGTTGTTTCACGCTGCCGCTGGTTTTTGCCGAGTAATCGCTCCTGTCGATCCGGTCTCGGCGATAGTACTTCCACTATTTAAAAAGGCAAAATAATGATAACGAAAAAATATTATAGTGCAAAAGCTTACCTGCCACAAAGGGCCATCAGTGAGGTATCTCATCCAGGTGATAGTCAACCCTAAGTAGACTGCGTAAGCTGGAGTTAATCTGCAAATAAATTTTGTTTGTGAAAAACTGAATGTATGATGTATCACACATCCCATCATATATTATACCTATACATATTGTATTCATTATCTTGAATCTATGTCAGTTTAGTGGAGTAGGATGGAAGTGTAAATCCGCCAAAGCATTACTGAGGCTTTCTCTAGTTTTTTGGAGATTTCTCTGGAAAGCCATTGTCGTGCTCACTTTATTTTACATATTAGGCTCATTACATTACGAGCAAGAAAGTTTAGTAGCTGTTTCATTGTACACTTCGCTTGGCAGGGGAGCAATGCTGATTCTAAATTACTCCACAATTTAAAAGATGTTACTTGTATATACATATAGAAACTTTCCTCTCCAATATTATTATTTATAAAAATATATTATAACTCTTCAATCACACTATTTATTAAAAAAACGCATCAAATCTGATGTTAAGCGTACATAGTGACAAAGAAAGCGACTTTGCTTAATACTACCTACGTATGTAGCGAAGGTGCGTCTTTACCCTTTGAAGATTAAAATGTGGGACAACAAATATTTTTTTATGATATAGGTCGGCAAACGAGCAGACGGATTACGTGATGATAAGCAACTAGCGCCGCCCATGGACTCCCGAAACAACAAAGGAGTTACGAGTGTGTTGCCTTCCTTTTGGGGATTAGGGATTTGGAGATTTAGGGATTGGGGGAGGGGAAGAATTAGGTGTCCAGTCACCTCACTCACACGGCGAAACACAACATTGTAATTGGTAGAACATTATATTTACGCGGGTATTAACGCGGAAAATTATAATTTGAATACCTTGGTAGGCTTGACGTTTCGACCCGGTTGCACAGGTCGTGGTCACAAGCAGACTGAAGACGCGATGTCACAGCTCCCTGCATTCGGGTGATGAATCTTCATCTACCCCCTTATTTTCATTTTCTACCATATTAGGCCGTCTACACACTACGCTGATTATATCCACAGATGTGTTTACCGACTTTGAAGGAAAGCGAGGTTGTGTTTTGCGAAGCACTGGATTCCACGTCGACGACAATTTAAAGCCGTCCTCCCGATTGAAATTATTTGGGCATTTCTTTATTTCAACCGCTTCACGCACAAGTCTTGTATGGTAGTGGCGATCAGTGGAGAGAATTTGCGGTCGGTGGAATTCTACCCAGTGATTAGAACCAGCCTGGAGCAGGTGTTCTGCTATCGCTGATTTGTTGCTCTGTCGGTTTTTGACTGCGGCGATATGTTCTTTGAGCCTCTCAGCAATGGTCCGCTTCGTTTGCCCAATGTAGGAACTACCGCAGCTTCTTGGACATTAAAATAACCGCGAGATCAGATGGGTCCTTATCGCACTGTGTATACCGAAAGCCAACTCACACTGATCGGTACCTACATGCAAAGTCACATCACCACCCCCGACACTTACAATCCGTGATGATATCACTAAAAAACAGAGCATATGACCTCTGTGACCCTGAACATCTGGGGCAAGAGCTAGACCATGTTCAGGAGGTACTTAAAAAGAACGGATATAGTGTAGGGGATGGGCGACTATTGCGACCGCTGAAGAGAGCCAGACATCCAAACGTGAGCAGACAACCTGCCTTCATGCCTTATATCAAGGGTGTGACAGACAAGATAGGATCCGTCCTTAAAAAGTTTTCGATCCCGACGATCTACACACCTGAGGCTAAACTTCATGATAAGGTAGGCACGGCGAAGGATGTACTGCCGCTACAAAGCCCAGGTGTTTATAAGATCAACTGCAGCTGCGGTAGTTCCTACATTGGGCAAACGAAGCGGACCATTGCTGAGAGGCTCAAAGAACATATCGCCGCAGTCAAAAACCGACAGAGCAACAAATCAGCGATAGCAGAACACCTGCTCCAGGCTGGTTCTAATCACTGGGTAGAATTCCACCGACCGCAAATTCTCTCCACTGATCGCCACTACCATACAAGACTTGTGCGTGAAGCGGTTGAAATAAAGAAATGCCCAAATAATTTCAATCGGGAGGACGGCTTTAAATTGTCGTCGACGTGGAATCCAGTGCTTCGCAAAACACAACCTCGCTTTCCTTCAAAGTCGGTAAACACATCTGTGGATATAATCAGCGTAGTGTGTAGACGGCCTAATATGGTAGAAAATGAAAATAAGGGGGTAGATGAAGATTCATCACCCGAATGCAGGGAGCTGTGACATCGCGTCTTCAGTCTGCTTGTGACCACGACCTGTGCAACCGGGTCGAAACGTCAAGCCTACCAAGGTATTCAAATTATAATTTTCCGCGTTAATACCCGCGTAAATATAATGTTCTTAAGATGAAACGCGAAAGTTTAAAAGTTAGTATTGTAATTGGTTTTGTAATGCCGTATATTATGTGAAGTTCTCATAATTACCTCAGCCATCTCAACAGAATGTATTTGGGAAACGTCATGAAGGTTATCTTGCTCTTCTCAGCATGCAGCAAGGAGTTGTAGACCAGCAGGAAGCCGGACATCACGAGGAACGTCTGCATGATGGTCATACCGTTGAAGATCACCTTCAACGCACTGGTTTTATATAACTGGAAGAAAAGTGACATAATTGGCTACATCATTAGATGCTTCATATTTAAATAAGCACTATCTTATGTATATACAAGAAAGTCGTGTTAGTTACTCCACTTATAACTCAGGAACGGCTGAACCGATTTAGCTGAAAATTGTTAGTAGGTAGTGTAGATTAGGTAGAGTGGGGTAGGTAGAGTAGGGTAGGTAGGGAAAGTAGAGTAGGGTAGGTAGGGAAGGTAGAGTAGGTAGAGTAGGGTTGGTAGAGTAGGGTAGGTAGAGTAGGGTACAAGGTACCGGTCGCTTCAAAGACAGCAGCCTCCTCACAATACGTGCCCTCTCAAGGATAACTGCCTTCTGTATCAAGGTCATGACCCAACCTCACCTCCAGGCTGGCCAGGCAGAACAACCTCTTAGTTTGGTTATCGAGGCTTTTGGGGACTAACCCATTCATTAATTACATACTTTCAATATTAACATATTGAAAGTATGTAATTAATGGTTAGTAAGTTAAGACTCTGAGATGTAATTCAGGCACAGGTTACACAATTACCTTAATGTCTGCGAGTGTATGAGACACAATTGAAAACACATTGTGTCTGTTATCTGCTCCGTTGGGTTAAACATAAGTTGGAACAATTGTAATAAGATAGAAATAATTTAGTTTAATTACCTTTTCAAAGTAGATCGGGTTGTCTATAAACGCCACACACGCTAAGATCGAGTGCGCCATAATCACTAGTCCAATAGATAATGCCCTGAAATCACAATAAAAATTTACAATACTGATAATAATCATATATATATAGCCTTTTTTCTGCTGGCCCCTCCGTTTAGTGTAAGTGGAGATAATATTTGAAAAAGAAAATAATGGTGGGAAAGAATACGCCCCAAAATGTTGAGCGATCTAAGGTCGGGTTTATCGGGATTACTGCAAAAACTATAACGTCTATATATGTTCAATGGTGAGGTTGTAAATTTAAAAAAGGTTTATAAATTTTTTGTTTACTTAATTTGTGTAAATGTTTAATATAACAGGTATGTCGTTTTTATTTTCCCAACACATGACGCATGCTCTCTCTCTCTTTCTCTCTTCGTCGCTCTCTCTCACACACACCTCTAACAGATGATGAGAAAGCTTACCTCATGCCATGGATACCCTTGAGTCTCTTCAACCGAGGGTCCTGTCCTCTAGCGACAGGAGCCACCAACTTCCTCCAATTGTAACGAATCGAGAAACCGACGAGAAATCTTGACACTGCAAATGAAATCGACATTCAATATTAAACCAAGAGTAATAACCGCGAAGGATGGAACAAAGGTGACCAAAATATACATTATAAAAAGTAACTTCCACATTTCACTTTTCACGATCAAAGAAAATATCGCGAGGAAACCTACACTTATAATTTCTAAATATAAGTTTGAAATCGCCTATCCGCATTGAGCAAATGTGGAGATTAATGCACAAACTTTCTCCGTTTAAGAAGAGGCCTTTGCTTAGCAGTGACCACTTATAGTTTACATAATAATGTTATGTTATGAAAAGTAATGTAGGTACTTTAAAGTATGAACTTATTGCCGAGTTCTAGGTAAAATCCAAGATCTGTGCTAAGCACTTCAACAATTTTCTAAACACCAAACTACTCGAACCCCTGAAGAACCCCTTGCTTTATACCCATCTCCACCAACAGCAGTTAATGCTAAAAATATTACTTACAAAAATCTTTTCGCTTCCCACCGAAAGGCTCATAAACAGTTCCAATAACGTTAGCCAGGATAATTATAAGGCAGATGATGCCGACAACATAGTCCATTGTATCTAGCGGCTTGTCCTTCGGTGGTTGATTGCAAAAGTACCGGATCATTTTAATCTTCAACCCATAATCTTTGATGAGGGATTCGTTGACACATTCTTCTATAGCTTCTCCAATATCAGTATCGTTAATATTGAAAGGTGCTGTCTTGTTGTAGAGGTGTGTGCATGTCTGTGTGACGCACACTCCTCGCACCAACTTCGTGTAGTCGAAGTGCGTTGTGTTGTGTGCTGAGTATTCCTGTAATTGAAGAAAAGGATTAGGATGGATTAGAATATTTGAAGAAGGTCGAATCTTGAACTTGTCTTGACACGCTACCGCGGGTTCACAATTATTTTATTAATGCACAAATTGCTGTTCCGGGTCTAGATGTGATGTGTATGTGAAATTGTATGTTTGTTTCTATTTATTCCGTTCTCAAAAATAGTATGAATGAATTTTCCTACGAGAAAAGTTGCAATATCAACATGTATCTACTGTATCGTCCCATGCGTATAAAATAATAATAAAATAAAGAGGTTCTCGAGTAATCATAAAAGAGGTTCGCAGTTTAACCTGTTTCGATGTTTGGAAAGCCCAAAAACTCTTCAAAGGTCACAATTGCGACCTTCGTGGTAAGCATGACCTAAGAGACAGGTGAAAAAAAAACATCAAAAACTTTTCTAAGATAGTAAACTGTTGCGAATATTTTTTGTGATTTAATTTTTTATGTTGATTAAAACTATAAGAACAGGTCGTTCTTAAACTGGTTTAATTCCAACATTATTAGTTACTAGAAAAAAAAACAGGTCGACGTTAATCATTCCAAGGGTAACGTACCTAGTATTTATTTCCTTTTTTAAGACAACTCTTGTTTTTTTCTTAGATATTTTTTAGTTTTTTCTTTTTTTTATCCTTCAATGAAATTCATTTGAAGTTGTACATATCTTAGAAATTTCCGTAAGGTGAAGTCGATATAAGTTAATGTAAAAATTACGAAACATATGTACTTCATATGGACGGATGGAAACGGTTTGTCTTCTCGTATAGAAATGATAAAAAAATGAAACACATACAAGTTTTATAAAAAAAAAAACAATGTAAAAAAATTATATTAGATTATGTTTTTAAATGATCGTCGAGTTCCTGTTCCATATGTAATGCGTATGTAATGGACACTATCAAACATCACATCTCAATTGTGTGTGGCATAAATAATCGTTTAGTACTGAATTTTGTAAAAGCCTATTTAATTTTTTTGGTGTAATGGAGTTACATTTAAATGCACGCCGTGGCTGGGCATTCTGGCTATTATGCAGCATGTCACGGATTCGATTCCCGCACAGAACAACACTTTGTGTGATTTACAAATTGTTGTTTCGGGTTTGCGTGGTTTGTTTATGTTAATTTATATGTTTGTAAACCCACCCACGACACACGAAAACACAATTGGGTAGTTTCCTAGGTCAAAAATAAATTAATTCGATGTTTCAATACAATAAAATATTGAATAATAACTATACTTTTATTCATCGATCGATCGATACACCAAGTTTTAGATTTTTTGTAGCTAATTATGGTGAAATAAGTAAGCTATTTGACGCTAAATGTTATGACGTCATAGCTCAGTTTTTCATACAAATTTCATAGAAAAGTATCGTTTTTGACGTTTGAATAAAAGTATTGAATTTGACTAGTTGGAAACTACCGTATTAGGTGGGCCAACGTTTCTTTAAAAAACAATGCGATAACTTTGAAGAATCTTACTTGTATCATGGTGAACAAAGGACTAGAAGTATCGGGGACCAGCTTCAGCTCCGCGAAGCAGTAGATAGCATTGTCATCCCAATGGCATTTGTCGTACGAGTCCCCCTTGTACTTGGCGGGCATTCGGTCATACTCCGTGTCTGAAAGGAAAATAATAAATTAAATAAATTTTCATTATCAGTCTAGGTCTACGAAACGAGGTGATCCGACAGGGGCTAATGTTGTGGACATAGTCCAAAAGCTTAGCAAAAGTGGCAGCTTATAAATTTACAAACATTTATGTATGCAGCATGCATGAATTACGTGTTACAATAAAGCTTGTATATAGAAGCTTTATGTTATAATAGAAACTTAGTTTTAATAAACTTATTTTTAATCTGCTATATCTTATAAAGGCCCTATGAGCGGTGTAAATAGCTTGCTTCAGGGTTTTTATCAACACTACTCTTTTGGAAAGCGAGGGAATCATCAATAACAGCTAATCTACTACTTTTTACGTTACGTTTACATATTTTAGCTGCGATTTAAAGCTAGCCAAAACTTTTTGGATTAACCCAACATCTAGAAACTTTAGTAATATGTATATATCCTCGAACAATGATTCTCTCTCATTTTTGTTTCTGACACATTCCATCAGCAAATAATTCATAATTTTGTCACAAACTATATTATTAAGCGATGCAAATTTTCCCATTTGGTAACGAAATTTTCTCGATGGAAAATGGTCAGAGCGTAATCTTAAGACTAACTTAATATTAATAATAATAATAATTTGTGTGCACCGATCACGTGTCTGCCGACGGTCTATAAAGTTCTTACATCCATACTGAGAAGTAAAATTAATAGTCATATTGACAAAAATAAAATCATGTCAACTGCTCAGAATGGATGTAAGAACGGATCCCGCGGTACTAAGGAGCTACTCCTCATTGATATGGCCATCTGCCAACAGGTTCGACGTGCCCGTAAGGATCTGTCGACATGTTGGATAGACTATAAGAAGGCCTATGACTCTATTCCTCATACATGGCTCATGAGGGTGTTGGAATTGTATAAAATTGATACAATACTACGCACCTTCCTGATGTCCTGTATGAGGCAATGGAGTACGGTCCTTCGCTATCCGGGATGTCGACATACCCAAAGGAACAGCGAACCTGTAAGGATCGAGCGTGGTATATTCCAGGGTGATAGTTTGAGTCCGCTTTGGTTCTGCCTAGCCTTGAATCCCCTAAGCACACTCCTAGAGAATTCAGGCCTAGGCTACCGGTTGAAGAGAGGTGGTCAGGTTATATCTCACCTCCTTTACATGGATGACTTGAAACTTTTTGCCCCCAACAAACTGCAACTGATGGAGCTACTCAAGCTAACTGAAACCTTCAGTAGTGCCATCAGGATGGAGTTTGGTGTGGACAAATGTGCGATCATGCATGTAAAACGAGGGGAGGTTGTGGAATCTGTGGGAACTCAACTCACGGATTCCATAAACCTAAGGTCCCTCTCTCCAACAGAAACCTATAAGTATTTGGGTATGTCGGAAGCTTTAGGCATCAATGTCACTGACATGAAGCAATCGCTGAAGGAGCGTTTCTTTGGTCGCCTGAAGAAAGTATTTAATAGCTTTCTTTCAGGTGGAAACAAAGTGCGCGCCTTCAACGGTTGGGTCATGCCGGTATTGATGTACTCTTTCGGCGTACTCAAATGGTCTCAAACTGAACTGGACGCCCTGGATAGGCAAGTCCGAACAATGCTGACTGCATACCGAATGCATCATCCGCGGTCGTCGGTGATGAGACTGTATATCCCGCGGAAGTGTGGCGGTCGAGGCTTTTTAAATGCCAAGACCCTACACAACCGCGAGGTATGTAGTCTCAGGGAATATTTCCTAGCTGCCGACGTGGATATGCATCGAGATGTAGTGGCAGTGGACAAAGATCTCACCCCGCTCTCCCTGGCTATCGAGAACTGGCGCAAACCCGTCGTACTTGACACTAACGCTCGCAGGGAAGTATGGCAGAGCAAGGAGCTTCACGGACGCTTTTTCCGAGCCCTACATGAACCGGATGTAGACCAGGTGGCGTCCGTAGCCTGGCTGCGTTTTGGTGACCTCTTTGGGGAAACTGAAGGGTTTGTCTGTGCAATTATGGACGAAGTTATCATGACGAATAACTACCGGAGATTTATTGTGAAGGACGGCACGGTTGACATCTGTCGGGCATGTCACCGTCCGGGAGAATCAATTCGTCACATAATCTCTGGTTGTTCTCGTCTAGCTAACGGCGAGTACTTGCATAGGCACAACCTTGTAGCCAGGATCATACATCAGCAGCTTGCTCTGAAATACTCTCTTGTGGAATCGGAAGTGCCGTACTACAGGTATGAGCCCGACCCAGTCCTTGATAATGGTCATATCACCTTGTATTGGGACCGGTCTATCATCACTGACAGGACTATTGTGGCCAATAAGCCTGATATTGTGGTGGTGGACCGGAAGGAGAGGCGTGCAATGATTGTTGACATAGCCGTCCCACATGACGAGAACCTTGTGAAAGCCGAGAAAGATAAACTGATCAAGTATATCGACTTGGCTCGCGAGGTTGTCGACATGTGGGAAGTGGATTCAGCTATCATTGTACCGATAGTCGTGTCAGCCAATGGCTTAATAGCCAAGAGCCTCGACCAACATCTTAGGAGGCTCTCGTTAGGTGGCTGGATCAAGGGCTTGATTCAGAAAGTGGTACTCCTGGACACGGCTCGTATTGTCAGGAGGTTCCTTTCTCTGGAGCCCTGACCGCCGGTAGCTTGGACCCAGTTCCCGATACCGGTGGGACACTATTTTTTATATTTTTAAATGTTTTTTATTATTTATTTTTAAGAAATATTTAAAAATGTAATTTATATGTTTATATGCTGAATAATAATTTAATAATAATAAATTTACTTCACTGAAGTATAAAAGAGGGCTCAGTTTGTATCATAAACTACCCTTATTCCCTAGAAAGCACGTTAAACAAATTCTTCTATTTAATGTTACATTTGTCCTTGTATCAAGTGACATGTGTCCAAAATATGTATATGACGTAAGTGTACATATGTTGTAGTTGTAGGATGTTTTGTATATAATTATTAGAACTTTGATCTCAAAATGAAAATTATGTATGTTTGTATCTCGTTCAACAGGTTCGTCAATCCGGAATCGAGTACCTACAAAAATGTAACTGGTTTACCTTTAAATTTAAATGAGTATCTTTACGATTCTTATTGTTTATCGAGTTTTTTTTTTGTGTGTGGTAGGGCGGCAAACGCGCTAATGGTAAGCAATCAGCGCCGCTGATGGACACACGCAGAGGAGTTACGAGTGCGATGTCGGCCTCTTGGGGATTAGGGTTTTGAGGGGTTCAAAGCTAACCCACACCAAAACCCTTAGGTATATAGTTTAGGTAATTGACTAAATGTAACTAAACAATCTGGGCTTGGCTTTTTATTTAAGAGTTATCGAATAATTATATGGATTCAATCAGGTGTGCCTAAATCGGTGTTAGCTCATAAACTAAATTTAAATAATTTTTGTATGTATTTTATGCGACCTCTTTAATATCAAGAGAAATACCAAGATCGTTTACTTTTACTAAACCGATAGACCACAGACGTGTTCCGTCCGTGTGGTGATGAAGGTGCGTGATTTTTTTATAAGGTCGATAAACGACCTGACTGTAAGTAATCAGCACCAGATGGTAAGTAATCGGCGTCTCCAACTGACACCACCAACGTCAAAGGAATAACAAATGCTTTGCCGGCCTTTCGTTGGTGGGAGAGTTAGGAATTTGGGTTAGAGAAAGGATTGAATCTCAGATAACCTCAATAATAAGGCAAAATCGAGAATGTTCGCGGATCAAATCGAGCATGTTGCGCGGCAGCCGGTTGCTCAACCACCGTGCCAACGTGAAACGTGCGCTGTGAAAATGTTTACTATACTTTCAAGGAAAAAAGCTGAGTCATCGTGTTAGCATATACCCTTGCTTACTCTTTTAAACTGGGGCTGCGGATGCAAGGGTCATATATCGCGGCCCCGGCCTAGAGCAGGACAAGAAACGTGGGGGGTTTTTAGTCAGTAAGAGTCTGACACTCCCTCCTGCCCGACCCTGGCCCGGAGAAGTTACATTAAATATATACCTAATAGAACTTGCTTGCTTCTTGCATCTGCCACTACATTGTCTCCGCATCACTCAAAGGTTGGCTGGTAGATAATGCTCATTGCATTAAGTCCGTCTATGTACAGTGGTTTATAGTGGCCTATGTATAGTAGTTTTGTATAAAGTAAATAAATAAATCAACTGTTGTACAACGAGTATTGATACATTATTATAATATTAGTGGTCTCCAAACTAGGCTTTGCCTTCAAGAAAAGTCATACTACGATATCCTCCTCCCAAAAAAAAATTAATATAACCTTGCCTAGCATATGATACCTGTCCCACTAAACTAGTTTGGTACTCCACTAAACCGGTGTCATTTTGATTACGTAAGAGCATGGCTAAGATTTACATAATATAATTATAATTAATCTCAGAACATTACAAGTTTCGAAGCTAATCCATAAGATTTTTTCTTTTAAATTCCTATCGTAGGCTTAATTTACCGTCACAGACCGTTTTGTAACTCTTATAGCTGTCTTTGCTCCTGCGCAGGGGTGTGATTCTGTAAGACTTCATTCTAAACTTCGAATCTGAATCAGCTGTGAGTAGTAGTACACTAGCGCTACACTTACTAGTTGAACTAAATTGACAGCAACATTTTGATAGATAAAGTATGAGATGACGTTAAAAGTGGCATTCTAAAATTTAATTTCCCCGTCACTTCGACGCTCACTTCGCACTCGAACACGAGTCAAAATCAAACAAATTTTATAGAATCGACGTGCAGATCTGGCTCTTTGACATTTTGGTGAGTTTTAAATGTTTGTTACCTATTTATTTATTTGATGCGTTTACATTAATAACAAAAAAAAAACAAGAAAAAATAACAGCATTCATTCAGCATTCCTCCCACAGTACCCCATTCATTACAATAAAAGATACTAAATTAACTAAAAATCGCGGGTTACTCACGTGTATAAATTGAGAAAAGCTCTACTAGTTTC